ATTAATCCACCCATTAATCCACCCCTCCTTTAATTAATCCACCCCCCCTAATAAATCCACCCCCTCTAATAAATCCACCCCCCGTTTAATTAATCCAACCCCCCTTTAATAAATCCACCCCCCTCTAATTAATCCAGCCCCCCCTTTAATTAATTCACCGCCCCCTTTAATTAATTCAGTCCCAGACATAAAATATCTACTCACAGATGCCTTCCTTGCCCGCCGAGTCCGACCACTGGGTGCCTCACCGCCCGGAAATGGATCCTTCCGCTGAAGATCCGTGAAGGCAGACTGACGACGCTGCGCACGTCGTCATCACGTTGCGCGATGCCGCGGCCTGCAACGCTCCTCCTCCTCCTCATAGAAGAAGGAAGTCCCGCCGGACCGAAAGGTACAATGCCTAGGTCTTATTTTCGGGGTAGGGCTTATATTGCAGCCCACCCCGAAAATTCAGCTAGGTCTTATTTTCGGGGTAGGGTGTATTTTCGGGGAAACACGGTAAGGAGTGGCCAGTGAAGTTATCACTAGGCTGTAATGCAAACACAGCATTTTCTCTGAAAAGACAGTGCTTACAGCAAAAAGCCTGAAGGTAATGATTCTACTCACCAGAACACATTCAATAAGCTGTAGTTGTTCTGGTGACTATAGTGTCCCTTTAAATTTTTCATGGATTGATGATGTCTGTCTTGATGATGAACATGTGTGCAACACACCAAATGAAGGGCTATCTGTGTTTTTTTATACCATTAAAATAGTTGTCTATGCAAAGGAATACAATGGAATAGTTGAGTTAACGTGATTTTCCTTTCTTCTACTCCAATGTATTGTCCTTAATATTGGTATGGTTTGCATTGGCATTCGGCAGACAGAGACATGCTTAGGTTGTATGAATTTTGTGTTAGCAATCCACAAATTTGTATTTTTTTTTTTTTTGGTGTTCCATTCCACCAGCTTTGTATTGCCCCATAGCCTGTCTCTTGTTATCTCTTGTGTGTTTCTTGTATCTTAACTCCCCCTCTTACTACTTTTGTGTCTCTGAACCCCCACCTAAACAAAACACAGTGAGAGTAATTGGAAAGCTTCATTAACACCACACACAGTACTGAATATTTAGATGTAACAAGTTCAAGAGTAGGAAACATAAACAAACAAATAAAAAAACTTGCTAGCCACATATGGTGGAGCCCAAAATCCAGGGACAAGTTAATCCATATATCAATGAATAGCCCCGCTAATACAGTCATGTAATGGAATCAAGTAAAAAAAATATATTGCTCACAGCTTAATGTAATATAAAACATAAACGTTATTCAAATGTCCATGTATAAAAATGTGACAAATCAAAAGTCATAAAGCAGCATAGCACATACCTTCCTAGAGAGTAGAATTAGAGGGGGAAAAAACCCTCTAAACCATCAATATTGTAGCGTGGTCATGTGGAACCATGGTAGATAATCTTCATGATGTTCCACCCCCTCTACTTACTGCTCAACCTCTCCAGTTTCCTGTCAGATAAGGCAATAGAGCATGATGGTCCTCTACCAAGGTCCTATGTAACTACGCTACAATGAGTGACAGGGCAGGGAGGGGGTGTTTACGCTCCCCCAGCTAGTATCCTCCCGTCTACTGAACGCAGATCACCCATCAATTTACCTTAAACTGTGCTCAAAGGGGCAGTCTGAGCAGTTTATTGCAGTGGTTATTGTGCAATCAGTATAAAGGTTCAGTCCCCCCAGCTTTTCTCAAACTGTCTTCAAAAGGCCTCTACTTCTGTTGCCAATGACATCACTCTGAATGTTCAGATTCCATTAGTCATATGCTTAGCCTCACAGGCTATCAGTGCTGTTCAAATAAGGGATAGCCCAGGTGCTTGTTAAAAAGCTCTAAAAGAATTTGATAAAAACTAATAGGACTACACCTATAGACTTACATAGTTATGTAGGATGAAATAAAAAGCATTGAGTCCATCACGTTCAGCATTTCTGTTGATCAAAAAAAAAGGAAGTCTGAACTGCTTATTTTGAAATAAACAGGGGGGAAAAGTTATACCTTTTTGACTACAGAATGGCAGTTAGATCTATCCTTGTATCCAAAAGCTGATAGCCCACGTATTAAAAATGATATTATGTTTTTGCAATAATTCACCCAGTGGCTGTTTAAGCATCTGTACAGACAAAGATAAAAATACCTCTTTAGGAAGAGAATTCCACATCCTTATTGTTCTTACTGTAAGGAAGCTTTTACTTTGCCTTAGACTGAATCCTATTTCTTCACCTCAATGGATGACCTTGTGTCCTATGTATAGTCCTATTCATGAATACATTTCCAGACAATGGTTTAAATATATTTGTATAATATAATATTATATTCCTTCTAAAGCGCCAGTTTTCAAAACTAAACAAATTTTAATTTTACTTTCTTCATAACTAAAATCTTCCATTCCCTTTATACATTTTCCTTATTGGCTTTAGCTACTGCTGATTGACATTGGACTTTGTTGACTAATTTGATGCCTACAGATATTCCCAAATCTTTCTAACATATTGTTTTCCCAAACCTACTACCACTCAGCGTATATGTTTCTTGTGCTTTTCTTCTCCCCCAAAAGTGCATAACTTTGCATTTATCAACATTAAATTTCATCTGCCATTTGAGTTCCCTCTCCCTTAATCTAAATCTCTCTGCAGCAAAGTAATATCCTGCTTACATTGTATTACATTATTCGTTTTGAACCATCTGCCAATACTGACACATGTCCAGGGGTGTGGAAATTTTAATAAACCAACTTGTCCATGGGACTAAAGTGGTAACCCAATCCATTTGTCCATCATCATACGTTACGGCAGGAAGGGCTAAGAAAAGAAAGGAGAGAAGGAGTGCAGACATGAGCTTCCCCTTGCAGGGGATGTAAGATATGAACATAATTGACATTAGGCAGCCCAGAACAGAGATCCAGGCTGCTTACTCGATCAGCCACAACATTAAACCCACTGACAGTTGAAGTAAATAACATTGATTATATTGTTACATTGGCACCTGTCAAGGGGTGGGATATATAAGACAAGTGAACAGTCAATTCTGGAATTTCAAGTATATGAAGCAGAAAAAATGGTCAAGTGATTTTAGTGAAACTACACTTTCATTACTATTTTTTAGAATGTAGGCATTTATTCGCTTGTTATATGAGCCTATATATATGCCTCTGAGTTATCTGATTTAAAGGCTTTTCTGTTTATCTTTCTTGGGTTACCATCCTATTGAACCACATTGATTTCAATTTATTTCTTTCATATTTATTAAGTGTATATTTTTTAATATTAGTTTGAAGATATTCCATTTAGCCTCCAAGTTTTTTTTTTCAGAAACGTGTTTATGCAAGTCAATTAGTTGTGAAGTTGTCCTAATCTTATTGAAATCGACCTTTTTAAATGTTTTAGCGTACCACATGTGCATTTGCTTTTTTCTGTATAGTTCAAAAGACATCATGTTGTGATCACTATTTCCCAAATGCTCCTTTATTTGTAGTGATGTACCGAACGGTTCGCCAGCGAACGGTTCCTGGCGAACATAGCATGTTCGCGTTCGCCACGGCGGGCGAACATATGCGCGGTTCACCCACCCCTATTCGCATCATTGAGTAAACTTTGACCCTGTACCTCACAGTCAGCAGACACATTCCAGCCAATTAGCAGCACACCTCCCTAGCAGACCCTCCCACCTACTGGACAGCATCCATTTTAGATTCATTCTCAAGCTGCATGCTTAGTAAGAGGAGGGAAAGTGTAGCTGCTGTTCATAAGATAGGGAAAAGCATAGCTAGGTTAGGGATAAGGGTATGCTTTTTTTTTATTTATTTTTTCTATGTAATGTAAATGCACTAGTTGTAGTTGTTTGCCACTGCTGCCAAAGCCAGTCAGGCTCACAGTGCATACTGTGCCCATTTCCCCAGTCAGTGCCACTAATTACATCTGGTGTCACAATAGCTTGGATTTAAAAACAAAAAACTTTTTCACTGTTATAGATTGAATAGCAGTCAGTTGTCTGCCACTGCTGCCAGCTTCTGTGTCAGGCTCAAAGTGCATACTGTGCCCATTTCCCCAGTCAGTGCCACCAATTACATCTGGTGTCACAATAGCTTGGATTTAAAAACAAAAAACTTTTTTCACTGTTATAGATTGAATAGCAGTCAGTTGTCCGCCACTGCTGCCAGCTTCTGTGTCAGGCTCACAGTGCATACTGTGCCCATTTCCCCAGTCAGTGCCACCAATTACATCTGGTGTCACAATAGCTTTGATTTAAAAACAAAAAACTTTTTTCACTGTTATAGATTGAATAGCAGTCAGTG